TAAACACATCAAAAACAGAATCTAATGTATCATAAGATTCAAGAGTTAAATCATCTAATAAGCCTAACATCCTACTACATATAGAAATAAAAATTAAAAAAATACATATAATTAATATACCAATTCATGACCAATAATATCATTTTAATTGGCATAGAAATAGAAAGGTATTCACATCAATTCCAAATCTACAGTAAATGTTGGCCATGCATTAATCTCAATTTCACCGAGGAATAGTACTTCTACTCCTGGATCTTTTTTATAAAGGCTTCCACCCCATAGCACTTTGTGTTTGAATTTTGAAGTCAAAGGTGATAATTTTTGGCAGGATGATGATGATGATGGTGCTGTGGATGACGATGTTGATGATGATGCTGTGGATGATGATGATGCTGTGGATGACGACGATGCTGTGGATGACGATGATGCTGTGGATGATGATGATGCTGTGGATGATGATGCTGCTGAAGAAGGCAATGATGATTTTTCATTCCTCGAATTATCACAATTCCTTGATTGGTAGTGCATAATTAGAAAGAGTAATTAGAGAGAAGTTTCAACATAAAAACACTGCACAATAAGAGTTGTAACCAACCTTGATGTTTTACTGACTAACAAATTACCATCAATTATGGTGGCTTCATCTAAAGCTTTTGATTTCTGTGAATATTTATGGATTAAATTATCATCAAGATCTGGAAAAGGATTATTATCATCATCTGAAATCTCCAATATTTGTGAAGAAGACTTATGAGTGAGATTATTTTTTTTATTGATTTCACCTAAAGACCCTGATTTTTGTGAAGATTTATGGATTAAATTATCATCAAAACATGGCAAAATATTATCACCATAATCTAAAACTTCCAATCTTCGTGAAGAAGGCTTATGAGTGAGATTGCTTTTTTGAGTGACTTGACCTGAATATTTTGATTTCTGTGCATATTTATGGATTAAATTATTGCCAAGATCTGGAAAAATGTGGTTAAAATTTTCATCTGGAACTTCCAATCTTTGTGAAGACCTATGAGTATGATTACTATTTTTAGTGATTTGACATTTCTGTGAAAATTTATAGATGAAACTATTAAGATCTGGAATAATATTATTATCATTTTCATCTGAAGCCTCCAATCTTTGCAAAGAAGGCTTATGAATAAGATTACTATTTTTAGTGATTGGACCCAAAACTCTTGATTTGTGTGAAGATTTATGGATGAAGTTATAATCAAGACCTGATAAAATATTATTACCATAATCTAAAGCTTCCAATCTTTGTGAAGGAGGTTTATTAGTAAGATTACTAGTCCTAGTGATTTCACCTAAAACTTTTGATTTCTGTGAAGATTTATAGATGAAACTATTATCAAGACCTGATAAAATACTATTGCCATCGTCTGAAACATCCAATCTTTGTGAAGAAGACTTGTGAATATGATTGCTTTTTTTAGTGATTTCATCTGAAAATTCTAACTTTTGTAAAGATTTATGAATTAAACTATCAAGATCTGGAAAAATATTATTATCAACATCTAAAACATCCAATCTTTGTGTAGAAGGCTTATGAGTATGATTGCTACTTTTTTGAGTGGTTTCAACTAAAGATTTTGATTTCTGTGAATCTTTATTGATTGAATTATTGTCGAGATCTGAAAAAATATTATTATAAATTTCATCTGAAACCTCCAATCCTTGTGAAGAAGAGTTATGAGTATGATTACTTTTTTTAGTAATTTGACTTGAATATTTTGATTTTTGTGAAGGTTTTTGGGTGAAATTATCATCAAGATCTGGTAAAATATTATTACCATCATTTGAAACTTCTGATGTTTGTGGGGACTTATGAGCATGATAATCATCAAGATTTGGCAAAATATTATTATGATCTTTTTTTAATTTCAACTTTTGCAAAATCTTGGGGGTAAAATCATCATCAATATCTGGTAAAATATTATTATAATTTTCATCCTAAAAAAAAATAAAAATATGAAACTTAATTAAAAATTTGAGCTTTAAAGATTTCATCAAAATTATGATATTAATTTATTATACATACAATTATTCTACAATCAGTATAATCAACAGTAGGAGATAGTGATAAAGGTTTAGTAGCTGTTTGTTTAGGAATAGATTCAGGCCTTTTTGTTAATCTAGCTAATGTTTGTTTTTTATTTGGTGGTACCTGTAACACAACAAGTTTTCGTTTTTCTGGTAGAAGTTGGCATTTAAAATTGTTATTATTATTGACACTACTAATATTCCTATTATTTAAACTATTATTCCTATTATTATCAACATTACTAGTATTAATTTTATTATTAATACTAGTGTTAGTATTTCTATTGTTAATGTTTCTATCATTATTAATACTACCAATATTTCCGCTATTATTATTAGGATTAATGTTTCTATAATCATTATTATTGTTGCTAATATTAGTATTGTTATGATCATTATTAGATGTTTCTGCATTTAGTTGTTGCTGTTTTTGTAGTAGGATGTTAGGCTTATTAGATGATTTAACTCTTGAATCTTATGATACATCAGATTCTGTTTTTGATGTGTTTAAAAACAGCAATGATGATCAAAAAGGTTGTTCTATGGCAATTATTACAGAATATCATTCTAGAAGAATTGATGATGAGATAATGTCACTTAAATCGAAGGAAAATGTTGGTTTGCTTAATAGTTTTTTTTACTTGGCATTGAAAATTATATAAAAATGTATATTAATCATTGTTTTCAAATTTGAAACAGGCATTATTTGTAACTTTAAATGATAGTAGATTATACTTCTTACCAAATAGTGAAGAAGTCACATCATCACTCAACATCCAACCTTTTTTTGAATGCAATTTTATAATATTAAGAGTCAACCTTCATGAAATTGAAAGATTAAAAAGATT